GGAATTCGCGGGGCCACTTTGTAACATTTGCTTTTATTTGACCGACGAATGATTGGAGGCAATGAATCCTCAGGAAGACTCGTCCGGGAGAAGATCTGTGTCCAGTTTTTGTAACTAAGATGAAGATTAGAGTTTTGCTTCCTTGTTCAATGGTCGTTACCCGGTCAGTTGGCATTTCCGAATAAATAACTCCGCCTCGAAGGCCTGCCTTTCACGGGTATTTCGTATTTTACTTCTCCTTCTGATGGGTGATTAAGTTTTGCATTCAATTTGCCTGTAGGCACTATAAGCTACAGGCTGTGTTGCAGGAGGTCAGATAATCTGTTCTTCGAAGTGTTTGGCCTATCTTTCCATTCGACGTTTTTGCGAGGGAATTAATGAGCTACCTGTTTTTACTTATTGCTTCACTGACCGCTGCTTTCCTAGGGCCAGTCGATTGTATTTGTTGTTGGTTCCCGAACAAAACCTTACACCCTCTCACTGCCTTGTGGGTCAGACTTTTGAGTCATAGGCTCAAGGTGGGTATCTCAAGGGAAACCAGGAAGTATCATTTTCTCGCACAGTTCTGTGTCCACCGATATCCGTCTACAACCAAATCCCGTCATACAAGCAAACGTTTGTGGATCATTTGGCTGTCAGTTATCTGACTGGAAGGTTTTATGCCCCCTGCTGTCTATTAACAATAAACAAAATGACCTTTCTAAATCCATGAGATCCTTTCTGTGTAAAAGCGTTTAACGTACGCACTCTATGTCAAATTGACAAACAGTCAATGCTTCCTGAAACCTTGTACTCCCTTAAAATTGATGTATGCCGTGTCTCCGGAACACGCATACAAGACCCAAGTGTAGTTATGACTCTCAAAACGCCAAGGACGAACCCAGCTGTTTCACATTCCACTCCCAGTGTGTCCCGTGATCCACAAGCGATGACCCATGCAATATATGGTGTAGACGTTGCACTCAATCCCAGAGCTGAACGCCTCTTGGTAGATCGGATTCCACTGAATAGTCGTCTTTGCGCCGTTCGGTTATCCAGCTCGATAAAGATTAACTTCCTTGACATAAAAAGTGCTGTCTGTTTGTAGTGTCGGCTTATGCCTCAACGGACTGTAATTCTGATGCTGAGGATACTTTCTATCGAGAGCTATCCGGGCTTGTTCGTAGAGCAAGAAGCACTGACATGGTGATCCATGCAGGTTATATGAATACCTAAGTCGGTTGTCTGAGCTCCTTGGAATCACATTCACGCGGTCGATTCGGAGTCGATGCTCGTCGTACAGACAACGGAAAGCGACTCCTCTAGTTGTGTGTCGATCATTAACTGTTTCTGGCCAGTATGAACATTTAGCATAAACGTTCGCATCTCATAACCTGACGGCCACCAAGTACAAACCAACCGTGGGCCCAGTAGGATCACCTGGTCTCCAGCCATCGGTGAAGAGCTGCAATTGAAGACTACCGTTCCTTCTGGTGCACATGCATTGACTCCGATCGCGCCATGGCGCGTGCACGCCTGACAGTTCTTTTCCTCTTAGGCCCTTTCAAGTCAGCAAGGAGCATACCAATCTCTGAAGAACTACATAGCCCAATAGCATCGGTCTGAGATAGTCCAACAACTCTCCACTGTACTGGTGGTGAGTACGCGGATAAAGCATGGCAAGTTGTGAGATGAGGTATGCTAGCGGCGTTCAATGCTGTCTGTCTGATTCCTCCGATTCGATCACAAGACCACTGGATGTCTTACTGAAACGTGAGAAGGTACCGGAAAGGGACGGCCTGTATCCACTCCTCTTCAAAGAAGGCGGAGATTACCTGGTGGCTTATGTAACAGTTCATTAGCGCGATATGCAGAGAAGAGAAAGTGCCCGCAAAATTGAGGACGTCAACAGTTATTCCTATCCTCAAAAAGAGCACGCGGTCGCTATGTGAAAAGCACCGTGGCATCAGCCTGGTAGCTGTGGCATCGAAGGTGCTCAACTACAACATGAGGCGGTCTTTGAGCTGCACAGTAAGCTGAAGATCAGGAGAAAGGAGAGGTTTGCCCCAAATGCAGCCGAGCTTTCCGTGACATTGAGTGAGCCAATAACTTTCCTGTTTTTAGCATTTATTTTGCCTGCCAAAGTATTTTCGGTTCACTGAAAGTATGAGCAGTAGGTTTGGCTAATAACCATCGATGGCTTCTCGATCCCATTTTCAAACATATCTACCGCATGATATTCGGGAGTTTACGCACTTGCCTCAGTAAAAATGTGCTGTAAAAGCACTTAACATGTATGGAGATTCGGGGTTAAATAGTAGTTCATAATCAAGTTGCCACACACAGAGAGCGGCATTCTGAACAACCTAAATTAACTACGTCAAATACACTAAACAATTACGACTAGACTCTTCGACTGGAAGTTTGTAACTGAAAAAAAAGCTCAAGTTATCAATGAAAATGCAAAATGCGAAGGACTTACTTGGCTGTCGAAAGATCAGCCCAAAAATCTGTGGAGACGTAGCAAACGTCCTCTTTGCACTGATTCATTATGTACACCTCGCTACGCACATCCAGATGACTGAGGTGGGGGCATAGGTGAGGGGAGTTCGAATAACTTACCGATATGAGACAATTTCGACCAGACGATTCGTCAAAATTTTCCCACCAACACTGAGACTATAAGAGGAAAGCATGAAGCTGGACCACACGTACTAACCGTAGTACAAAATCAGACATAATTCGCCCGTCTCCCATTGGAAGTAGATGAGTGAAAGAGTAGCCAGAGTCTATGACCATACAATAGCGGGACAATCGCTGAACTGATTCGGCCTGGTATTTGTAGGCGGCGAGTAAGGCGGCTGCAAGGGGTGGAGAATTATTCATCGCTGCATTATCGTCAAGGGACCTACGTACGATTGGAGCGCATGAGACCTGCGAATTGATACTCTTCAAAAAAGATCTCATTCATGGTTTCTTTGGTTGACGCGAAATTGAAGTATGGCTCGGTAACGATAAGATTTGAATCTGAAATTTGAGATCCCCGCTGCTCATGAGGATAGGGGAGTGGGGGAGGTGAATACTGAAGAATGCCAGTAAGCTCACCGAACCTCTTTAAAAACTTTCTTGAAGGCGGTATCTAGGATTTGTGTTTGGATATCCCAGCTGTTTAAGTAGCCCTGAGACAAGATAAAAAATGAATAATGGTGGGAAATCGTCAAAAAACTGTGTAGGCTGCAGCTGAGAAGCCAACAGAATATTGTGTGATTACCAAAAAGAAAGATTCCACCTTCTCGATCAATAGTAGTAGTCAAAGAATAACTTAAATATTGCCTAGAGCTAACATGGTATGTTCTAACGCAGGCATCAACTTGAAGCAGTTAGATTCCAAAAAATCCCAAAAAACGGGCCATCGGCTTCACACTAACACAAGCGATCCAGCGCCATAGGTGAAGATAAAGTGACGTACTAGAAAAGAAGGTCCGGAAATTTTCTTATCTATGATTCTCACCAGATGTGCTAGTAGGGACCAGATACAGAGAGAACGTCTATACCATTCAAGATGGTCGGGGATCGAAAGTAGTGAATGGGACGCAGCTTCGTAAGTGGCATGATACACCCGAAGAGCGGCCGAGTAGACCCCCTGCCGAAGCCGACCTGACGGAGGTAAATGAAAATCGATGGCATGCGAACGAGCTTTAAGGGGTGGAGGTGTGTAACGGTGGCACTACTGATCGGGAGGCACGCGAGTAGTATGTGTTGTTCGTAGAATTTCGCTTTGCGTCGATTGAAAAATGGAATTCTGTTGCAGAATTCGCGGGGCCACTTTGTAACATTTGCTTTTATTTGACCGACGAATGAGTGGAGGCAATGAATCCTAAGGAAGACTCGTCCGGGAGAAGATCTGTGTTCAGTTTTTGTAACTAAGATGCAGATTAGAGTTTTGCTTCCTTGTTCAATGGTCTGTAACCGGTCAGTTGGCATTTCCGAATAAATAACTCCGCCTCGAAGGCCTGCCTTTCACGGGTATTTCGTATTTTACTTCTCCTTCTGATGGGTGATTAAGTTTTGCATTCAATTTGCCTGTAGGCACTATAAGCTACAGGCTGTGTTGCAGGAGGTCAGATAATCTGTTCTTCGAAGTGTTTGGCCTATCTTTCCATTCGACGTTTTTGCGAGGGAATTAATGAGCTACCTGTTTTTACTTATTGCTTCACTGACCGCTGCCTTCCTAGGGCCAGTCGATTGTATTTGTTGTTGGTTCCCGAACAAAACCTTACACCCTCTCACTGCCTTGTGGGTCAGACTTTTGAGTCATAGGCTCAAGGTGGGTATCTCAAGGGAAACCAGGAAGTATCATTTTCTCGCACAGTTCTGTGTCCACCGATATCCGTCTACAACCAAATCCCGTCATACAAGCAAACGTTTGTGGATCATTTGGCTGTCAGTTATCTGACTGGAAGGTTTTATGCCCCCTGCTGTCTATTAACAATAAACAAAATGACCTTTCTAAATCCATGAGATCCTTTCTGTGTAAAAGCGTTTAACGTACGCACTCTATGTCAAATTGACAAACAGTCAATGCTTCCTGAAACCTTGTACTCCCTTAAAATTGATGTATGCCGTGTCTCCGGAACACGCATACAAGACCCAAGTGTAGTTATGACTCTCAAAACGCCAAGGACGAACCCAGCTGTTTCACATTCCACTCCCAGTGTGTCCCGTGATCCACAAGCGATGACCCATGCAATATATGGTGTAGACGTTGCACTCAATCCCAGAGCTGAACGCCTCTTGGTAGATCGGATTCCACTGAATAGTCGTCTTTGCGCCGTTCGGTTATCCAGCTCGATAAAGATTAACTTCCTTGACATAAAAAGTGCTGTCTGTTTGTAGTGTCGGCTTATGCCTCAACGGACTGTAATTCTGATGCTGAGGATACTTTCTATCGAGAGCTATCCGGGCTTGTTCGTAGAGCAAGAAGCACTGACATGGTGATCCATGCAGGTTATATGAATACCTAAGTCGGTTGTCTGAGCTCCTTGGAATCACATTCACGCGGTCGATTCGGAGTCGATGCTCGTCGTACAGACAACGGAAAGCGACTCCTCTAGTTGTGTGTCGATCATTAACTGTTTCTGGCCAGTATGAACATTTAGCATAAACGTTCGCATCTCATAACCTGACGGCCACAAAGTACAAACCAACCGTGGGCCCAGTAGGATCACCTGGTCTCCAGCCATCGGTGAAGAGCTGCAATTGAAGACTACCGTTCTTCTGGTGCCATCTCATAACCTGACGGCCACCAAGTACAAACCAACCGTGGGCCCAGTAGGATCACCTGGTCTCCAGCCATCGGTGAAGAGCTGCAATTGAAGACTACCGTTCCTTCTGGTGCACATGCATTGACTCCGATCGCGCCATGGCGCGTGCACGCCTGACAGTTCTTTTCCTCTTAGGCCCTTTCAAGTCAGCAAGGAGCATACCAATCTCTGAAGAACTACATAGCCCAATAGCATCGGTCTGAGATAGTCCAACAACTCTCCACTGTACTGGTGGTGAGTACGCGGATAAAGCATGGCAAGTTGTGAGATGAGGTATGCTAGCGGCGTTCAATGCTGTCTGTCTGATTCCTCCGATTCGATCACAAGACCACTGGATGTCTTACTGAAACGTGAGAAGGTACCGGAAAGGGACGGCCTGTATCCACTCCTCTTCAAAGAAGGCGGAGATTACCTGGTGGCTTATGTAACAGTTCATTAGCGCGATATGCAGAGAAGAGAAAGTGCCCGCAAAATTGAGGACGTCAACAGTTATTCCTATCCTCAAAAAGAGCACGCGGTCGCTATGTGAAAAGCACCGTGGCATCAGCCTGGTAGCTGTGGCATCGAAGGTGCTCAACTACAACATGAGGCGGTCTTTGAGCTGCACAGTAAGCTGAAGATCAGGAGAAAGGAGAGGTTTGCCCCAAATGCAGCCGAGCTTTCCGTGACATTGAGTGAGCCAATAACTTTCCTGTTTTTAGCATTTATTTTGCCTGCCAAAGTATTTTCGGTTCACTGAAAGTATGAGCAGTAGGTTTGGCTAATAACCATCGATGGCTTCTCGATCCCATTTTCAAACATATCTACCGCATGATATTCGGGAGTTTACGCACTTGCCTCAGTAAAAATGTGCTGTAAAAGCACTTAACATGTATGGAGATTCGGGGTTAAATAGTAGTTCATAATCAAGTTGCCACACACAGAGAGCGGCATTCTGAACAACCTAAATTAACTACGTCAAATACACTAAACAATTACGACTAGACTCTTCGACTGGAAATTTGTAACTGAAAAAAAAGCTCAAGTTATCAATGAAAATGCAAAATGCGAAGGACTTACTTGGCTGTCGAAAGATCAGCCCAAAAATCTGTGGAGACGTAGCAAACGTCCTCTTTGCACTGATTCATTATGTACACCTCGCTACGCACATCCAGATGACTGAGGTGGGGGCATAGGTGAGGGGAGTTCGAATAACTTACCGATATGAGACAATTTCGACCAGACGATTCGTCAAAATTTTCCCACCAACACTGAGACTATAAGAGGAAAGCATGAAGCTGGACCACACGTACTAACCGTAGTACAAAATCAGACATAATTCGCCCGTCTCCCATTGGAAGTAGATGAGTGAAAGAGTAGCCAGAGTCTATGACCATACAATAGCGGGACAATCGCTGAACTGATTCGGCCTGGTATTTGTAGGCGGCGAGTAAGGCGGCTGCAAGGGGTGGAGAATTATTCATCGCTGCATTATCGTCAAGGGACCTACGTACGATTGGAGCGCATGAGACCTGCGAATTGATACTCTTCAAAAAAGATCTCATTCATGGTTTCTTTGGTTGACGCGAAATTGAAGTATGGCTCGGTAACGATAAGATTTGAATCTGAAATTTGAGATCCCCGCTGCTCATGAGGATAGGGGAGTGGGGGAGGTGAATACTGAAGAATGCCAGTAAGCTCACCGAACCTCTTTAAAAACTTTCTTGAAGGCGGTATCTAGGATTTGTGTTTGGATATCCCAGCTGTTTAAGTAGCCCTGAGACAAGATAAAAAATGAATAATGGTGGGAAATCGTCAAAAAACTGTGTAGGCTGCAGCTGAGAAGCCAACAGAATATTGTGTGATTACCAAAAAGAAAGATTCCACCTTCTCGATCAATAGTAGTAGTCAAAGAATAACTTAAATATTGCCTAGAGCTAACATGGTATGTTCTAACGCAGGCATCAACTTGAAGCAGTTAGATTCCAAAAAATCCCAAAAAACGGGCCATCGGCTTCACACTAACACAAGCGATCCAGCGCCATAGGTGAAGATAAAGTGACGTACTAGAAAAGAAGGTCCGGAAATTTTCTTATCTATGATTCTCACCAGATGTGCTAGTAGGGACCAGATACAGAGAGAAGTAGGTCACACAATCCCTTCTCGACCTTATGAGATATGTTCTACTATCTCATATCTCAGCAAAAGCTTTCCTCGTGAGCAACACAAGAGGGGTGTGATAAGCTCCACGCAAAATAGTCTCGTCCAAAACATCAGTATATTACGGTCTGCTGCTAGCGTGCCTTAACACAAACATTTATTCATCAGTTTGCCGTCCTCTGTTAATGATAACATAAAACGCATCGCATAGGAGGAATCATTCGGATGAATCGAAGTTTTGACGATCATCATCATCATCGACAGCATGACATCAGTGTCCAACACCGATGCTTCACTGCCGTACAACCATGACTTATTTGAAAGCCTTATTGTAAAGAAAAGAATAAAGGTGGATGGGGGAGGGACTTAGTGCTTAACACAATCATTCCGAGGTGCATACACCTCCAGACATTCACTCA